ATCACTGCCTCCAATTTTCTTCTCTAACAAGTCCATGGGGAAGCTTTCTTGGTAGTGGCTCTCAGTGGGACTCACTAATACTTCAAGAAACTTCAGCATTTGCTTCTGACTTTGACTCCTTGAGCACTTTGTGCAATCTCCTCTCAGCATTGCACATTCATGGACTCAGCACCAAAACCACCATGGGGCTTGTTACAAGGCAGAGAGCCCTCAAGTGCCTTGTCTCTTCCCATAGTTTCCTTCAAGTCTTCAAGACTTCTACAGCTAATTGGAGGGGTTTGGGGATGGTAGTTAAAGAGTAATAGTTCAATAAGCTTTTAGGAATTTTTTTTTAAGGATTTTTACTTTTTAAGGTAATTGTTAATTATTTTTTCACTTTACAGAGGAAGTGGTAGCAGCATTCTCCAACTGACAATTATCCCAAGGGTCACCTAAGCAGGTAGGAAAGGCAGTCCCTTGAGGCCAGACACTCTATGGACAGCCTTGTTCCTCACCTCCCCAACCCCGTTACTTTGCTGATCAGCCAGTGATGTCTGAAGTTGGAGGTTACAGCTCCTTGGCAACAATTCCCACCCACTTTCCTCTGACAATTGCCTGCACACAGGCACCGGAGGACTTGTCCTCATCAACAAAACCCAAAAGTTACACATGAGGCAATTCAATAAGCTTTGAAACGCTCTTCTCAACTGTATGCCAAATCCAAGCTGCACCTCATGACATCCACCTTCCACCAGGGATATCTGTACAAGAACTGTGTTAAGCAGAGAGCTAGGAAAGGAGAGATATAGACATAATTAAGGAGTTGACTCAAGAGTTCATTAGACTTCTCAGAGATGAGGCAAGTTTCTAACTCCCTGAAGCTCAGAGCAGCTACCAGATAGTTCAGAGGTATCTGAAAGGATAAAGAGCAAGGAGAGGTGGAGAGCCATGGGAGGTGCATGGTCATTGAATTGGGAGAGGTTTTCATCTTTCCAGGCAGAGATCAGTAGTCTGACCACAAACACTGATTGCCACCTTTGGAGGCCCCAGTGTATCTGAAGTGTATGCCTGGGACTGGTAAATCTCTCAGAGGACCCGTTGGAGACCACAGCCCCTCAGAAACTGCAGGTGGAGGATGGGCAGAGAGTGCCAGGGCATCAACACTGGCAGCAGGTGTCTGTGTCCCTGTATCTGAAGACATTTTTGTCCTACATCCCACCCCAGTTCTGAAACATCACTTTGTCAAAACAATGACACAAAATCACCAAAAAACCCAGTGTATTCAACTAAAAGAAAGCAAAACCACAAAGGCTTTTAAAAGCTGGAAAGTGTGTTGACACAGGGTTTTTCCCCCGTAATAACTTTCTCTTTGGGTCATCTTTGTTTATTTTTATTAACATTTTCTAAACATTTCTGGTTTTGTTAGGCCACCACCATTAAAAAAAGATCTTTTAGTATCTTGCACA